CCCAGAACCTAAACCCCACGCAGCCACTCGCTCGCTCCCCATGAGCAGGATGGGGGAGGGAATCAGAAGGGTTAAAGAGAGAAAATTAGTGAGTTGAGATAAAGACAGTTTAATAACTGAAATAGAATAATAATAGTAATAAAAAATAATAATAGTAATAATAAGTGATAATAGTATGAAAAGGAAAATAACAAAAAGAGAGAAATAAAACCCAAGAAAGACAAGCAAGGCAAGCTAAAACAATGACTCACCACCAACCAAGTGATGCCCAGCCAGTCCCTGAGCTGCAGCCTCCTGCCAACCTCCACCCCAGTTTTATTGCCGAGCATGATGTCCTATGGTGTGGGATATCCCTTTGGTCAGTTGGGGTCAGCTGTCCCGGCTGTGTCCCCTCCCAGCTCCTTGTGCACCCCCAGCCTGGCACTGCTGGGGTGAGGAGCAGAAAAGGCCTCGGCTCTGTGTCAGCAGGGCACTAAGGAAAACTTCCCTGTGTTATCAAAACTCACTGTGCAACCTTTCTGAATCAGCAAGTTTAGAAAACCCAGGGTCATAAAAAAAGCGCTAATATGGATTTCTCCAGTATAAAACAACTTCATTTTTCCTTTTTCTTTGGTTTGTGGGATAAAAAGAAAAGAGTAGATGCAATATTTTCATTAATAATGAAGGAAATAAGACAAGCCTGCTTTAAAATTCACCCATGGTATTGAAAAATCACTTTCATTGAGGATTCGTCTTCATTTGGTTGCTAACCTGGGCAACATTTGATAACACAGTTTTATAGAATAGATATAATTTACAAAGATGTATACAGTATATATACTTTACAATACAACTATAAACAGATTACAAACCTAAATGTCCATCAGCAGTCTCACACTCTTGCAGAAAGGGGTAGCTTTTGCTCCACGCAGTTTGAGCCAGGACAGGCAGCTATTCCCAGGGCTCTCCGCAGGTGAAGCCGTTGCTGGAAGCCGTGTCGCGTCCGTGGGGCTTTGCACCGTGACACACGTGTCCGTGAAACACGAGGAGGTCGGGGGAAGGCAGGAGTGAGTGATGAGAGGGCTGGCAAAAAATTACCTAGGAGAAGAAAAATGGAAAGAATTTGGTTTGTTTAAAAAAGCCGAGACGGACATAGTAACGGTTTTCCAATGAGGAAACGGTTGTTGTGGGGCGTCAGAGCGATCGTCCTCCGTAACCATGGAGGAGGGAGAAATCTGCTTTGCTCCTGGCACAGAGCATGAGGAAGCACTGGGCTGGAGGTGTCGTCCGGGGCCACGTCACGGGATATTTTTAGGGGAAAGTCGGACAGAAGTTGCCGAGCTTGGTTGTCCCTGCGGAGCCTCAGCTGCAGGGCTCCGTCCCCAGCCCACAGGGGAGATATTTAGCATACACTGGGTGTAAGATAATGTGTTTTCCAGCCGGCGTTACAGCAGATGCTTTCCTTAGTGAGCAGCAATGAAGCCAGTGCAAGAATTCCTCGTTGGATGTGGGGGATCCGCGTTTGGGGTGTACTGACACAGCCACGTGGAGAGAAGGATGTGGGGTGGCTTTTTCCCTTAATCTTTATCACTTGGCTGATGATATTTGACAGTTTAGGCATTGCTTAGAAGAGATTTTAAGTTACTGACCACCTGTTGGTGCAGTTTTTCTGTGCAGGTGGGTTGGTTGGATGGGGCTGATGGATCGTAGGATGCGCTCCCAGCCCCTGGGATGCTGTGGACCTCCAGGCTCCTTCCCTTCGCTCCGGAGGAGCCCACAGGGGCGAGATCCAGTGCGATGGCAATCCCTCATTCCACCACTCCTTTCCCTTAACTCGGTGTCTGTCCCGCAGGGTACTTCCCCTACGAGAAACCTGGGGCTGCATCGAGCTTTACTGAGCCAGTCCTTGAGACAAAACTCCCCCCAGTGGTGCCAGGGCCAGCGGAGGAAGAGCTGATGGTGATGAACACGGACACCGTGCCCCAGCACCGCCCCGACGAGCACATCCTGACGACCCAACTGCCCCGCAGGTACCCATGGAGGATGTCACACCGTCCTGCCTCGGAGGAGCAGGAGTGGCGGCTGCCGGAGATAGCCCCACGCAGCGCCTGGCCTGGGAGCAAACCGGTGAGTGGGGCTGGGCGGAGGAGGCACAGGGCAGGGGATGCTGCTGTGGAGGCGGGGGTGTTTGGGGGAGCGGTGGGTGTGGAAGGGATCTCCTCGGTTCATGGGTGCGAAGAGGGAATTTTATACGGGTGTGGATGGCAAGGATGAAGTTTGGAGTGTTGTGTAGAGAAACACCAAACTCACACGAATGTTTTGAGCAGTAGCAAATCCACCGCATCTTCAGGAAACTCTTGCAATGATTAATCAGTCTTCTCAATCATAAAGGTTTAATCTCTCATTTGGTTGAGTTTTAGCTTCAAATCCCAGTTATTAGGTCTTGTGTCACACTGCGATATAGAATCACAGGATGGTTTGGGTGGGAAGGGACCCTAAAGCCCATTCAGTGGCCCCCCCTGCCATGGGCAGGGACACCTCCCACTAGCCCAGGTTGCCCAAAGCCTCATCCAGCCTGGCCTTGAACCCCTCCCTTCCCTTGGGAACCTGTTCCAGTGTCTAACCACCCTCACAGTGAAAATTTTCTTCCTAATAAGCAACTGGCTTGTGTTTCCTATCAACTGAGCGCCCCACCACTGCCTTCCTCCTCCTCCTCCGGAGCACAGAGCAGCCCTGGCACCTTTGGTTACAGGCTGGGTTTGTGACTCCCTCAACTGCCCCCACCTGAATTTCCCACTGTCGTTATCTGTCAGTGAAGCACAACCGTTGGGATGTGCCCATGGAGCTGGGGCTGTGGCACGGCACAGCCGGTATCTCTCGGGACCAACACGTTGGAGCCCCTTATTGCTGCTGGAGCCAGTGGCAGCGTTTGTCACGTCACAGCCCGCTGGGGCTCTGCAAATCCCCTGAAGACAGATTAGAGACTTGACGTATCAAGTCAAAAGCTGGCTAGTGAAGCACAACCGTTGGGATGTGCCCATGGAGCTGGGGCTGTGGCACGGCACAGCCGGTATCTCTCGGGACCAACACGTTGGAGCCCCTTATTGCTGCTGGAGCCAGTGGCAGCGTTTGTCACGTCACAGCCCGCTGGGGCTCTGCAAATCCCCTGAAGACAGATTAGAGACTTGACGTATCAAGTCAAAAGCTGGCTTGGTGATAAATCCCAAGAAGGGGCATTCC